TAAACACACATTTTTATACTTCTGACATTGATGCATTCATGCGATGCTTGACATTAAGTCACGACTTACACTCCAGATCTGGCTCTTTGCCTGTGAGGTATCGTTCCACAGCTTGAAGCTGACTCAGCTTGCGGTGTGCTGGGTCAATGTCTGTCTCACAGTAGGTCCTACAAACGCACACATATGTCAATTAAGCACGGTGAGGACTTTCAAATATAGTCAAAGTTACTAAATAAAAACAAAAGAAAGAAAAAATAACCAACAGTTTATACAACTGTTTCTTGTCTTAAAATATATATATTCTCCTTTGTTTATGGGCACCTTGTAGTATGTAACATGCTATTACTCCCAGAGGGTGGTGGTAATGCACCTTAGAAGCTATTTGCCAGCCACCATTAAACAACAAAAACTTTTTTTTTCAATGTGAGCTCTGACTATTTCAATCTAATATAAGACGATAAGATGTCTATAAAGAAAATAAAGAATATAACAGTAAAATGCAATAATACTGCTAAGAGTGAGGCAGAGATTAATGCTGCTGAAAATTGTGAACTGAGAGTCGTCATAAGCACGCAGAGCTGTAAAATAAATATATTATCTCAATCTAACATATTTATTAACATTATTAGTTTGCACTCACTGTGCAGCTGCTGCAGATCAGAGATATGAAATTTTTGATACGTTTAAACATACTCAGTGCATTCAGATTTAACTCTCTCCCATTTCCTAATCCAGGATCCAGGGAAATCACATTAGTCTGCTACCAGATCAAAGAGAAAATTAATTTTATTGATTGAATGTTCTCTTTGATATATAGCCTACAAATGCAACCCATCAATCTTCTAATTTGGGTTCAAGCAGCTGCAATTCCAGCAGTGTAAAAGAGACTTAGCAGCAGATTAGGATCAACATAAAACATTTATAAACAAAACATTTATTTTCTGCATCAATGTTTTATGCTGAATGTAAGAAAATTCCAGTGACAATGCCACACATACAGTTTGCACTGCTGTAACTTTACAGCTTCATTTGATGTAGTTTACAAGCTCTGACCGAATAAGCTCTATTTATAAAAAAAAAAAATAGTACATCAGATAATCTAGACAGCACTTTACTATAAAAGCTGTCTAATAAAAATGTGGTGTTACCAACCGATTTCAAAAACGAAACCTGCTCCAGACCAGGTTATGTGTTCAGCTTAAGTTAGGGTAAAAAGGAACCACCTTAATTACACTGAAAACTCTGACTTTATGTGCAACATAGCCGGTGTTCGGGTTTGTCAGAAGTCACCGTCAAATTAACCTATGGGTAGGACAGCTTCCCAAAGTAGGACGGTTTGTCAGAACACCGGATAAACCACCCTGTAGAAAAATGGGAAACACGACCTATCTCACAACCTGTTACTCTGCAAGTTAAACTCACCACTCGTCGGCTATGGTGAGATCAGGAGCCAATAAGTCGTGAAGACCTGCGCAAGAAGAGAAGTCAAGACATAAGCCAGGGTGTATGAAACCCAGACACAAACGCAGATAACCAGAGATTGGACACTTACCCTCCTCAACAGAGACATTTCCTATGAAGATATACTGTCCATATCCTT